TAATATTCTGATCACATGAACCATAGGAGTTAGATTCACAAGAAATGCTTCAACTCCTATAATAGAGAGAAGCTTAATTGAATGGAGCTCTTAATCCCTCATTGAGAGGGGAATAAAACGTAAAAATAACGAGAACAAAAGAAGATGAAATCTAATTGGATAGAATGTATCAATTCCAACAATATAGCTATGTTTTTTTTATAATAATCTTGTGAGTGCAAAAATTATACTCTGAAAGATTTTAAGTCTGATGCACCCTTGGATTGGCCATATGAATGTGGGATAGATCCTTAAATCGGTAGATACCACCGCGAATTTATGTGTAAATTGCAACTTAAAATGACTCAAGTGGAGCATATCTTTGGTGGAGTATAGATCCGAACTTAAGTGAAGCGTATCCTTTGTCGATGTACACCGCCAAAAATTCAAGTGCAACATGAATTGAGTGAATGCACTTTTAACACTTAAGGAACACTTACTTAACAAAAATTATCAGAAGTTCATATTATGTTTTATCCCAGCACTAAATAATCTCATTATGTAAAATACATTCTTTTGATATCTCTTCATATTAATGATGCGGATAAATTTCTTCAATTCTTAATGAGAATGACATGTATTAATTATGTTTTAATTAAAAATTTAAAACTTTAATTAAATTTATTACGGAATTATTGCGATTATTATCCTTAAATATCATCCTCTAGCATGCACATAAGTAATAAAATTTTTACTTTATTAAATAAATAATAAAATCTAAAATTACATCTCATACTTTAAAGACACTATTTTTTAATAGTTTTATGTGCATGTTGTCATTTGTTTTGACTTTAAATGGATTTGGCCAAAAAAAATCTATGTGCTTGGCAGGAAAAGTTCAATTGGCTAATGTGATACAAGCCAGCTCCATCTACTCTGATATGTGAATTTGTGCGTTACTTTTATGTGTGCTTGTTTCCTATTTAAAAAAATAAAGAAAAAACATATATTAAATGTTAATAAGAAGTCTTTGTGCTTCATAGATACAGATCTAAATACACTATTTTTTTTTTTTTTTTAACATTTTTTGAAAAAACAGCATGCTATTTAGTTTGGTTTGGAAAAGTTGTAGTTTCCAATTTGTCAATGTTGCCTTCCCAATGAGTTCTCTAAATTGTGTCACATGTATTTGAGCAGCAGGCGACTCAACCATATAAATATACATATGAATACATACGTATTATATATAAGCAAAAGTATCAATACTATATATATGCAGAGAACACAGACTTCTTCTCGAGTTCCCTAGTCCTTTGGGAAGGACATTGAATTAGAAGGTCACTGTAGGAACTTATTACAAATTCAACAGATCGTATTAAGAAAAAAAAAAAAAAAAGGATATTGTGCTGGGTGACCTTTTTTATTCATCTATGTTCATAAATGACCGAACTTTTTTTATTTTACAAAAATAATCGTTTTGTTTATATAAGTCAATTAGTGATTGATTTATGGAGCACGGTCAATCATGATGACTGATTCAATATTAATTTACCAATAGTTTGCCATTAATAAACATATAATTTGTTAATTGAAATTGATTAATTACTAACTTATTTTAGTTAATTATTAACTAATGTTGATTAATAATAAAGAATAATCAAATTAATCAGTGATAAACTAGAGTCGATCAGTGATTGACCGCTAAGTCAATCAGTGATTAACTGTTTAGTCAATCAATGATTGAAAAATGAGTGTTTACCACATGTTGAGTTTGCTTATAATCGTACCATTCATTCCGCTACTAAGTTCTCATCGTTTGAAATTGTCTATGGTTTTAATCTTTTAACTCTTTTGGATTTATCACCTTTACCTGGTTCTGAGCATGTGGACTTAGATGGTCAAAAGAAGGTAGAATTTGTGAAACAACTCCATGAGAGGGCACGACTCAACATAGAGAGAAGAACCGAACAATACATCAAGCAAGCTAACAAGGGACGTCACAAGCTGGTTTTTGAGCCCGGAGATTAGGTGTGGTTACACATGAGGAAAGAAAGATTTTCGGCACAACAACGTTCTAAGTTACTGCCCAGAGGAGATGGACCTTTTCAAGTGCTAGAACAGATCAATGACAAGCCTACTGACTTGACTTACCAGGTGAGTACAATGTTAGTGCTACTTTCAATGTTACTAACTTGAGTCCTTTTGATGTAGGTGATGATTTGAGGACAAATCCTTTTCAAGAGGGGGGAATGATGAGGACATCAGGGATGCAAGGAATACTCACGATCCAATTCAAGTTCCAGTTGGTCCGGTGACGAGGTATCGAGCTAAAAGATTTAAAGAAGAGTTGAATAACCTAGTCCGGGGACTTCACCAACAAGAAGAGAGAGTGTTCACTACTGAGGGTGAACAAAGACTGGTTTTACTTATCAAAGTCGATCCGGAAGAGAGCCAATCAGTCATACACGTCCATTGAGCCATTGCATGGTCAACTTGCATGTCATTCTAGGATACACGTGCAAGGGGAAAATCCAAAAGGATGTAGGCGTGTTTTCCAGCAAGGAATCAAGTCAAGATTGCATATCAAGATTTGATTTCATCATAATCCTATCTTTTTAGATTTAAGGTTTAGTTTAACATTTAAATTCCATAATAGGCGTGTTATAAGGAAGGAGTTGGAGTCAAATTCGAATTCCTTCATAGGATTTGCTTTTAGGCGTGTTTATCTTGTTTTAGGCGTGTCTACCTCATTAAGGGTAGATTAGGACTTTTACAATTTTAAAACTCTTCATGTTATTTTTGACTATTTAAGGCTGAATTTTAGATAATGAAAAACAGTTTTTGATGTTTATTCATATTGTGAGATATTCTTCTTGAGTTCTTGAAGAAACTATTCCGAACTTATCAAGGTTTCCTTGTGGCGTTTAACTTGACTTATCAAACGGATTTTCATACTCGTTTGTGGCGTCTTCACCATACTAAGGTTCTTACTTTGCTAAGCAACGGGTCGTGGTTTCCATCAATCTTGAAAGATCTTGAATTGTATTCCATATTTGGTTTCGGATTTCGTCACATTGTTGGCGGGGTTCGTATAAGAAGAGAGAGAGAGAGAGAGAAAGAAGGGAGAGGGAATGAGGTAGACAAATTAGGGTTTAGGTTTAGTAAGGGTGTTTTAGTCATTTAAAATGTAGTAAAAAAGGGTAAGTTTTTTTAAGAGGGTAAAAATAATATGTCTCGTGGCTTAAGGGAGTAGGATATGTAATTCTCTCATTAAAAATTGGTGGGCTCATGGATTTCCATCTTCATTCCTTCTTCATTTCTTCTCTACCAAACAACGTAAGATTATATTTTCCTTTCTAAATTCCTTCATTTAATTTCTTTTCTCTCCCTTTTGCACCCTACCAAACATAATGTGAGTCTTATAGGGAAGGGAAGAAAATTTAGTTTTTGACCTAATTGGAATTCAAAATTGATTAAAATTAAGGGATAAACTTATATGCGTTGTTTAGAAGCTATACTCAAACCCAAATCATGATTTTGCTACAACGTTTTCTATCTTATAAAGAGTTTGAGTTTTAAAATTTTCTCTCTCAAAAAGTTCCCGCCAAAGAATCCAAATCATGATTTGAGTATACCTTCTAAATGAGCATATAATTTCTATCACCATATCGACATCTTAAATAAACAAAAATAGAAAAAATAGAATAAATTAGATCATATGCATTTTCTTAAAATGAACTTTTCTAGAGGATATTAACTAAGACTATCTTCAATGCAAATGTTAATGTCAATTGTATATTTAGCATAAAAAAGTGTGATGTGATATATTATTTTCATTTTTATTCCAATGCATAATGCTATTTAAAATGCTAAATTTATTTTTTTCCATAATCATTAAACTTTGAAAGTTGTAAAAGTAAACTTTCATTTTTAAAATAATTAGAAAATGTAAAAGTTGCAATGATTACATGAAAAAATAAACATTTCAACCAATAGCAATTAAATGTCAAATTTCTCATATACTACGAGCCAGTTTGGCATTAGTGTGCTGTTGAAAATTTATGTTGTTGCTATGTTGTAGTCAGAAGTTGCTGTGACTAGAAACACGTAGGTGTTTAGTAAATTTTTTTCCAAAGTTGTTGTGAATACCAGAAGCAGAAACTTAGGTGTTTGGTAAATTATGTACAAAATTATTGTGAAGATGTATAATGACTAAAGTAGACATACTTTAACGCACATACTTATAATTAGTTTTATTTATATTTTTTTAGTCAATATTTAATATTTATACACAAAAATACTAAAAAAATTTAATTTTCATTTTATTAATTAAGATATCTCTAAAAAATAATTTGATTTTATTCAAAGAGATAAATTATATATCTATAAAGAAATTAAATAACGTAAAAAATTGAAAGTAAATTGTTTTTCAAACTTGCAACATTATAATAAATATATATTATTAAAATTTAACATAAGATATTTATTAGAGATTTTTAATTTTCAAATAAACATTTAAAATAAAACACTCTTTAATTTGATTTGGAAAAAATAAAATGAGTTGATTGAAAATTAAGATTTATTATTAGGACTATTTTAATAAATTTAAACAATGATAGCATAAGCTGCGGTAGAAAAGTAACTCCTAACTTACTTCTTAAATTTTGTTATGGGGCAATAATTTTTAAAAGTTACTGGACAAAAGTAGGATTTACTAAATACTCTGACCTGCTGTAACTTCTTAAAAAAAGTTAAAAGTAATTTTTAAAAATAATATCAAACGAGCCCTATGTTTAATAAAAAATTTACCATAAAATATAATATATAAAAAATTTAACATAATAAATAATATTTTATTAAAATGTTTTACATTTAAATATTAAATTTATAATTAGTACATCAATGTTATAACATTGAGATGCTCTAAATTTCTCAACTTTTTTGTGTGAAAAAGAAAAAAAAAAAAAAACTGTATATCTACTATAGTTTTACCTTACGGGTCTGGATTCTGGAAGGTTCCAATTAGGATTATTAACTGAAGAATTGGGCAGGGTTTTGGCGGAGGGGCAGAGGCAGAACGGCAAAATCCCTAAAACCCTAAAACACCAAATTGAAGGATCAAATTTCAAGAATGGCATTGGCTCGTAGGTTTTCGCGCGTTTTGGGATGTTCTTCTCCGTCTTTTCAATCGCAGTTCGCTTCCATTAGTAGTCAGAGCTCCACTCTCACGTCTCCAAGGCTTTTCATCAGTGGTACTTTCAATATTTCATTATTCTGTTTCTCTCTCTCTCTCTCTCTCTCAAGCATTCTATATGTATAATTCTTATCTTGTTTGGTTTATACATACATATATACAAGCTATATATATATATATATTCTGTTTTTGTCTTTTCTTTGAACTTACTATTGTTTGCGTTTTGAACGTCGTTTTTTTTTTATCTTTGTTCCACATGTAGATTTAGAGAACTTATCGTGGAAAGATGGATGTAGTTTTCTGTGTTTGTAATGCTTTCTTGAACAAAGTTTTTTTTAGTGGAGTTTTTGAGCTTTATTATTGAAGCATTGTTAATTTTTTAGTAAGCTGAACTTGCACTTAGGAAGCTCTATAATCAAGATAATAACTTTCTTTAGGAATAAGGGGAAACAGATAAACCAGTACATTAACACACACACTCACACAGACACACTTTTCAATACAAGCCTCTCTGATTTAGTAGCTAACCACAAAGTAATTATTTTGAGCAACCTCATTATTCTTCTTTTGCCAACATGACATTGGACTCAATTGTAATTAAAATAGAGCCTCATAAGGCTTTAGCAGAGGAGTGAGGTTGCCACTTGGGTGGGGTGACATGACTTCATTGGTAGAACCCACGAGCTTGCAGTTGATGAAGATGGCGGGCAACGGGTTGTTGCACCTGAGCCTTGTGAGGGCCCTCTTCATTTCCCTTCCTTCAGAGTCTTGGTCCAGCTCATGAACCATGGGGTTGACCGTCTGCTCTTGGAACAAAGTGTTGACAGCATGGTAAAGGCAACATGAGCTCTTACTGAATACCACCACACCTTTCTTTGAGGCAAATCTCATTACCTTGTCCATTTTGTTGGGTTTGCCTTGAAGTTAGCTAAAGATCCCGGAAAACCTATGGGATCGAATTTGGAGCCGAATTCTATCCCAAGGCTCAAGCTCAGGTTGGAACTGTGAGAAGGGGAGGTAGACAAAAGAGAGATTTTGAAAGCTAGCTTTAGTTTTGTTTTTCTTATTATTATTATTATTTTTCTAAGCTAGGTTTAGGTTGTTTGGAGAAGAACATTCAAAAGAGGGTGCGCTTGTTTAGAATAATCAAATCAAACTAGAAAATATACGTATATATATATTATAAACAGAAGAAAAGAAGCTACTTTCTAAGATAAAGACTACTGTATTTAATAAGCTGAAGACGTTGGTCAGAACTACTTTCTGTGTTGGTAATTTAGGAGAAATTTTCTTTCTCATTTTTTGATTCTAATTTGTTTTGCACTGATTGGTTTGATTGATTTACGGGAAAAATGTATTTCATTGGTTATTTTTTCCTTTTTTCCGTTTCCTTTTTTCTCAAAGCTATTCTGTGGAGTATTTGTGGAGAAACTGGAATAGAGACTAGGTTATTGAAATTCCCTTAGAAAGGTAACTGTGCGTTATAAAACAGAACACGCACTATGTAGTAATGGAAGAAATTTGGATTTTGTTATACTGTTGAGATGAGTTTTTAGCTGTTTATTATTAGGACTGACCAAAGTGTGGACATTCAATGTATTAAATTTTGGAGTGTCCTTTTTTTTTTTTTTTTTTTTTTCTTCTTGTGATGGGTATTTGATTTTTTTAGAATTAGTGCCGAGTGTTGAGAAGAAATTTTGGCTTTCTAAGAAGCTTTATTGTGTGAATCAAGAAAAATCAAGCAACACAAGCTGCGGAGCAATATTTTATGAATACAAGTTATACAACAAACTCTATTCTTTATAGTGAATTGATTTCTTGTTGTTGGTATCATATTCATATATGATCCATTTATGTGTGGAAACATGACTAACTGTTGTCCTCTTGCAATGGGCACAGGTCTTTCGAGATTAACGACAGACGAGAAGCTTACAGAGGCGTTTTCTTCTTTTGGCCAGATTGTTGATGGTAAAATGCAAAATTCTTTCTGCCGCTAAGTTTGCATTCCTTGTTTTTATTAAGCTTCTTTCCTTACTGATGTTGGATGGCTATTGCTTTGATTATGGTGCCAGCCAAAGTTGTGACAGATAGGGTCTCAGGAAGATCAAAGGGGTTTGGTTTCATAACTTACAGGAGCATCGAAGAAGCTGAGAAGGCTAGAGAAGGAATGAACGCCAAGTTCTTGGATGGATGGGTTATTTTTGTGGATCCCGCCAAACCGAGGGAAAGACCTCCACCTCAATCACAATCTGGCCCTTCTGAAACAGGTTTTACATCGAACAAAACGATTGGATGGTGTGGTTGATGAATATGCATAGTAAAAGATAACTGTTACAAGGAAAAAGGGGAAAAAACTGACTTCTACTCTGATTCCGGTTTTAACGTACTATTATTTATGTTGTGATTGCATTAACCAATGATGATAAACAAAATTTTGTATTGTTGATATAATATGCCTTGATCATCAATATCATTGTCATACATTGGTTTATTGAACTACTGATAATTTGTAATCTGTTTAAAGTACCGTTACTTTATGCGGCTTCATTTTAGCCTTTCAGCCTTTGTTCACCCATACTATTGTTGGATCAGTGAATTTGAAAGAGAAATAGGAGATGGAAATCTATTATATAATAGTTTATGTTATGTTGGAGAGGAATAATTAACAGTTCAATCTAGTAAGACGTATTTATTTACGTTGTTTCACTTACCCATTTGACTGATCATGCATTTTTTAAAACAATCCTATGCGTGGTCGAAATGTAGACTAATTTTTGACACGACACACTTTGGTCAGCAATCTCATCGTGATTCATTGATTTATTCAAAGGACTAATTGAGCTAAGTTGGAACGGCATAATTTGTTTGTTGTCATAACAAGAGGACACTTGGAGGAATACCCCTGAAAAGAGTAGATCAAGTTTTGCCCCTTCAATATTTGAGTGCCCCTTTAATAAACCAGTCAAAGGTGAACACTGTATGGTTTAGCAAAATTACTCACTTGTCAAAAAGACAATTTATAACCTTTGGTAATCTACTTGAGTTTTCATTCTTTCCTTCTTTTGTTTTGAACTCCGGATGAATTTTATTTATTTTTCTTTGGTTTTTGTTTTAGAATTATGTTAGACTAGATTTTCTTTTGGTTATGGGTGATTTCAAAACCCTAGACATGGAATATATGTTTTAATGATTTTATAGTATTTTGCAATTTCTCAATAGAAATTGTTTATATTCTTCCAATTTAATTGTTCATGATTATTTTCTTGTTTTAGTTGGTGCGCAACTAATTAGGACTTTAGAATTATCTATTGCTAGATTAGGAATTCTTGATTCGTAATTGTCTTGATTTTCTAATTCTAAGTGGTGAAGTGTGATAAATAATTGCGGGAGGTTTTTATGTGATTGCATGCAGAGCATAACTTAGGATGAATAATCCCAGCTTCCGTGTTTATTGTCTAGATCAACCTATCTTTCTTGTCTTAATGCTTCCGTTGAAGAACATAATCTAGGATGAATAATCCCAGCTTCTGTGTTTATTGTCTAGATCAACTTATCTTTCTTGTCTCAATGCTTCAGTTGAATTGTACTTATAGAGCTTGTTCTAAATTGTTTAAGGGAAAGGGAATTAAATAAAGACCTTATTTTATTTAATGACACATTAAAGAAAGATTGGGATAGCAGACTTTATTGCTATGGTTTCTATAGGAAATTGGGAATATTATCAATTATTTGTCGTCGTTGTGTATCTTGTGGTGCATATTGATTTTTTAACCCGTTTTTATCATTGATTGTTTCTTCTATTTATTTTCAAAAATTGTTTTCTTTAATTTCTTGTTAAAATGTCTTTAATTTAGTTTAGATATCCAAAACACATGTTTCCTTTATATTTTTGCGATTAACAAAATTAATAACTAATTGATTGAGACCGATCCTCTGCGGGAATAACACTTACTTGCCATTACACTCGATAATGACAATTCAAATTTGACAGTCCATTAGGGAACCCATTAGTTCTTAGAACAAATTTTATAAATTCTCGATGTACTTTGTCACTTGTGTCAACATGCTTCATGAATTTTAAAATATATATATTGTGCGCACTGAACTTTATCACTTGTATTAATATGTCCTCTGAAGTTAACTCTGTTTAGTTTTTTTTTTAATGGAAATGCTTATAAACACTTCCTAAACTTTGCCACTTGTGTCAATATGTCCCATGAACTTTAAAATTTACTTGTTTTGCCCATCTCCCCCCTCCTCCTGAACTTTGACATGTCTCTAAATTTTCTCCCTTCATCTTGATTCTATAAGTTTTTTAAATGAAAATGCTGATATGACTATTAAATTGTTAGATATCTATGATATTTGACCATTAAAGTTTGTTAAATTAATGAGTTTTTTTAAGGTTTGTGTTTTTTATGTTTAAAAAGGTCAATAAAATAAATGACTTGAATGCGTTTATATTTAAAAATGATATATATATATATATAAAGCATAAATATGTTTTATGTCGAGCATTTCTATCCTAAGTGAAATGTTAAGAAAACAAATAACAAAATTTATTACATTATATAAATTTGCTACTCATTTTTTTCCTTGTTATTGCCTCTAATTAACTAATGTTTTGAGAATTGGTGCTTAACTAATGTTTTCAAGGAGAAGGTATTCAATAAACTTCAAATATCATAAATAATTAGTAATTGAATGGTCATATTAACATTTTCGTTTAAAAAATTGATAGAATCAAGATGAATGGAAAAAAAGTTAGAGACATATCATAGTTTAGAGAAAAAATAGGTATATTTTAAAATTCAAGGGCCATATTGACAAAAGTGACAAAATTTAGGGGATATTTATAAGCATTTTTGTTAAAAAAAACTTAATGGAGTTAATCTCAGAGTCATGTTGACACAATTGATAAAATTTATGGGGCACAACATACACATTTTAAAGTTGAGAGGACATGTTAACACAAAGTTTAAGAGGAATTTATAAAATTTGCCCCAATTCTTACTATTATTTCTACATAACTAAGGTCCAATTCATTTTTTTGGAGTGATACCCGTTTCAACGAAACATTTCTTTCTTTTTTTTTTTTTTTTTTTTTATAACTTTTTCTCGCTTTTCCCTCTCTTCTTTCTTTTCTTTGTCTACCATTTTGGACATATTATATTTTTTCTTTTCTCCGAATTGACTCTCATAAATATATGTTTCTCTTTAATTTATTCTCGTACAGATTCTTATCTAATTTTTTTAAATCACATTCCTCTGATAAAAAGTTTTGTACTTTGAGTTTTTTTTTCTTTTTTTTTTGTTTTAATTTTCATTCCTCTCTATCTCTATCTTCCTCTTTTTTTTCATCTTTTATCTTTTTGTCATCATACATTTTTTTATTTCTCCAAATAAGATTTTAATAAATATATTATTCATTCTTACGTATAAAATCTCAAGCGCATACGCTAGCAGTTTCAACTAGTTCATGGAAATAAATAGATATCATATAAGCTTTTTTTTTTCTTTTCTTTCTTTAGCATTATTTTTGTCGGTATAAATAAAATTATATACAAATAATTGGCATATTTGGTCGCTACATCGAAGGGGTCACTTCAGTACTTTTTTAAAGAAAAATGGTAAAACAACCCCCAAACTATGCAAGTAATTTTTTTTTTTGAAGAAAATTTTCTAGAATTGTCCATTAAAATTCATGGGAGAAGGAGGGAAATAACTCAAATAAAATGGGAAACTAAAGTTAAAATTATTAGGCTAAGGTTTAAGAATTGTTAATAAATAGGTCATTTAACTGTAATTTCTTATTTACACCCACTTAAAATTCTCAAATTATCCATCTATAAAAAAATGAAATAAATCCATATGAGAAACAAAAATAAATTTATTTTTTAGTAAATCTTGAATTTACTGTGCATATCCTTTACGGTGTAAATCTTGAATTTATTTTTAATAAATCTTGAATTTATTTTTTAGTAAATCTTTCATTTATCAGTAGAACACAAACTGGTAAAGTTTAAATTTATGACATAAATCTTGAATTTATATTGTAAATCCATCATTTATCAATAGAACACAAATTGGTAAATTTTGAATTTATAGCTACTTTACGGATTAAATTCGTCATTTACTAGTAGAACACGAATTGGTAAATTTTAGAATTATGGTGTAAATAATGGATACCAGTAGAACACAAATTGGTAAGTCTTGGACTTACGATGTAAATCCTTCATTCACCAATAGAACACAAATTGATAAATTTTGAATTTACATACCAATAGAACAAAAATTGGTAAATTTTAGATTTACAGTATAAATATTAGATTTATTGTATAAATTCTTCATTCACCAATAAAACACAAATCGATAAATGTTGAAATTTTACGTTTATTTTTAGATTGCTTGTTTATCTTATAAATCTAAAATTTAACATGTAATTTCAGTATTTACCTCATAAGTCATGGTTTGAAAACAATGAAGCACAAAGCGTAAAATCGAAAAATAAAATTTTTAAAATTAAAAATGACTTAATTTCTTACCCTTGGTAAATTGGTCTTTCAATTTGAAATCAATATTACGCTCTTTCATTTAATTCTTTTTGTTTAAGTTGATTTATTTTAATAGGGCACGGTTATGATTAAGGATGTGAGTAATTGAAATATCAAAAAAAAAAAAATTTGTGTACAGAAATATCACAATAATAACAGGGTGGTTTTAAATTTTTTTTTTCAATTTTATTTTATACAGTTTTGAACACCTCCCGTTACACGTGTTATTTTTCTAATATTGAAAAGACACAAATAGCCTCATAGAACCTCATACAAAAGGAAAAAAAAAGTGTGCAGAAAATAGAAGAAGAAGAGCGCCGGTAACCCACTTCGCCGCCGCCAGCCCAAACACGCGGAGCCAAAACCGGCCTCGTGAATCGAGCCTTTCTTCTTCTTCTTCTTCTTCATTTGGCCCGAATTTTTTCCTCTAGTTGCTCTTACACATTGTGAGTGTGTTCTCCTCTCCTCCTCTTCTTTATTTCCTTCGAATTTTCTCTTTTTCTTGCCCTAATTAGGTGTTTGGTTCATGAGAAATTACTCAAGAAAGAAAAGAACGTGCAAGTCTGCTTTGCTTTTTTTTTTTTTTTTTTTTTTTTTAAAAGGCGGGGGTTTGTTGTTTTTTTTTTTTTTTTTTTTTTTTTTTTAAAGCTGCGAGTATGCTGTGCTTTTAATGTATTGTTTTTTGTTCTTTTTTGTATCATTTTCGTTTGCAAGCAGTTTTTTTTTTTTTTGGATAATTAGATACTTATGGAATGTAATTAGTGAAAAACAAGGTCTTTTGAATTTTGGAGTTAAGCCGTACACTCGTATACTAACAAGAGTGGTTAGTACTAAAGTCTGTTGCCGTTGAATTCGATAACCAAAGTGAAATCTTTGCTTCCTGGATCTAGGCCAAGTAGTGATACATGGAGAATAGACAGAAAAGAAAACTTTTCTTGTTGCTTGTATAGTATTGGGTAGTCTTGGCCTTAAATGCTCTTTTTTTTTTCAGATTTTTGTGGGTACTAGCGAGGTGAAAGTTATAAGAATAATTGTTTTTTCAATTTTTTTGCGTCTCCAGACACAATATTACATAACAATCATATGGGATAAAGAAATATATTACAATTTTAGGAAACTTCTCTTATTAGTTGGCTTCCTCCCCCCCCCCCCCACCTTTTTGTTCTTTCTGTTCTTATTGCCCCCCCCCCCCCCCCCCCCAAAATTATCCTACGGCAGAATTTTCCAAATAGTAAAATATATTGCGGGGAATTCAACGGATTTGTATGGTGGACTATTAACAGAAAACGGCTGAGCTAAGAATACGTTTTGGGTCCAATGTTAGTGTCGTGTTTCTCTGAAAATTCTGCTTTGGAATGTCCCTTCTTTATTGAATTATTATTATTATTATTGTTATTAAGTGTATCAACTTTGATCTGTTTATTGGTTTGCTTAAAAGACAAATTACAAAGTTAAATAAAAAACGTGTCGACTTTGTGCTTTGTACTTCAACTAGTAGGAAAGCAAAATTGTAACAAATGTTGGAGTGCGTGAGGTTAGCGGCAATGCAGATGCAATGCCCAAAGGTATTAATTTATTTGTCATTTTTGTTTATGAGAAGAGTGTGGAAAAAGTTCATCTTGGTTTGTTTGTTTGTTTGATTGATTGATTGCTGGTATTTTCCATGGCAGCTTTGGAGTTGGTCCCCAAGCGAAAGACAGTTGAGAATTCGAGCTGTTTCGGCAACAACTCCAACTGACGTTGACGCTTCCTCCTTTCCTGCTGCACCCATTTTTCTTCCTCAAGGTCCTTGGTCTCAGGTTATTTTCCATATTTGATCTAGTTTGGGCTTTTTTATTATTAAAATTGTTCATTATCTATTATTATTAACTTTATGTGAAAGCTTTTTACTATAGCAAAAAAGTTAGATGTGACTGTTTCCGAGAGCTTTTTACTGTAACAAAACTCGAATCGGTGAAATGAACAGGGCCTAAGATTTTGATGTTTATCTACTTAGTATTTTATTCAAACTAGAACTCTTTAATGCCACGATAATTGATTAGTCAGTCAATAAGGCTTTGGTGGAAGGGTAAAGCAATAGTAGGGACAGGAATGAGAGGATTAGTGTATGGACTATAATACTTAAGGGTTATTTGGTAGGAGGAATTAGAAAAGTAAATGAATTAGATGAGTGATTCAAAAATCTGGAGAATCCAAATTTGTTCCTTCCGAAGTTGGAAGGATTGGAGAAGGCAATCCGTACAGCTATATACCAAAGACAATAAAAGATAGGTCATTTTTTACTGTACATTTTTTCTCACTTGGGTCACATTCATTTCCTGTTACTTTTCATCGTACCGAAAACATCCTTAAGCTTGTAATTTCATGAGTCTTCTTCAAGAGAATACCATAGTAACATTCAGTTATCTCTTTCAGAAAGTTTTTCTTTTATATATCCTAGCTTTTGTTGCATCACGTAGATTCCTGGGGGAGTTACTGCAGCACAAGGATTCAAAGCTGCAGGCATATATGGCGGATTACGCGCCGTAGGACAGAAACCTGATCTTGCACTTGTCACTTGCGATGTTGATGCCATCTCTGCTGGTTTGGCTTTGGCGTTTCGTTTGTTAACCATAACACATCATTTATACTGTCCTTGTGTTTGAGTTTTGATTATTCTACTTGCTTCTCCTTCAAATTCTTTTAGGGGCGTTTACTACAAATGTGGTTGCAGCTGCACCTGTGTTATATTGCAAGAATGCCTTGGAATTTTCTGAAACGGTATGCTTTAGCATCATCCTTCCTCTCTTAATTTTTGCATCTTAAATGACTATTGTTGTTATTATTATTTTTGCTGTTGTTGTTGTAGTAGTATACTGTTCGCCAAAAATCATATGCATGGAAATAACTCTACGCAAGTGTACGTAATCGAACAAGTAATACATTAGTGAGTAAAGAGTATCGTCTCTACATGGACTGAGTTAATAAGAAATTGATTTCAAAAACCAGTTGTTAGACTCCTATTCTCTGTTAGTAGAATTGAGACAGAATTCCTAGGAATACTATCGGAAGCTTGAATTGTATTAATGGCGGACGATTGGTTACAAGGGGGGATAAGGGGATTTTCGAGAGATCCCTTGCTCTCCTAGGTTCCACTCTCGGAAGTATACAGATGATTCGATACCCTTCTATTTCCCTTCCTACTCTATTTATACTACTAAGCCTTATTCTCCCTCACTGATCCCAATGCTAACTAACTAGTAACTTCCTACTGACTCAGCCACTTCCTAATTCCTCTTCCCGAGCTCCTCCCTCCACGTCAGCCTCCACTTGAGTTTCAGCTGCCAACCTTGGCTCGTGGTGGCGTTTCCTCCGAACATATGTAAAACGCACGGGGGGCTTATCATTACCCCCGCCCCAAAGACGCACCTTGTCCTCAAGGTGAAAGTGAGGAAATTGTGCATCAATAGCAGCATACGACTCCCACGTATCTTCATGTTCCGGCAATTGAGCCCAACGAATCAACACCTCCAAATCAGAACGACCCCCATGAGGCGTATGTCGCACCCCAAGCAGATCAGCCGGCTCTGCGCACATCTCCAAATCACCGGTCAGCTGGGCTGGCAGAGATGAGATGGCCTGCCCTTGTCCAACCACCCGACGTAGCTGAGAAACATGAAACACCGGATGAATGGTCGCTGAGTCTGGCAAAGCCAGACGATAAGCGACTGGCCCCACGCGACGCACAATGCGAAAGGGACCGTAGAAACGGGGGCTCAACTTCTCATTACGACGGCGCGCCAATGAAACCTGACGGTAAGGCCGGAGCTTAAGATACACTAAGTCTCCCACAACAAACTCCACATCTCGCCGTTTACCATCCGCAATCGCTTTCATCTTCTGTTGAGCCCGAAGAAGATGGAATTTGAGTAGATCTAACATGGCATCTCGATCTTGTAGTTGGCGCTCGACGGAATCCACAGGTGACGACCCCACACTGTACCGCAGCAATGGTGGAGGCAAACGGCCATAAACCGCTTGAAAAGGAGTCATGCGCGTGGCAGTATGAAAGGAAGTATTGTACCAATACTCGGACCAAGCCAACCACTTATGCCACTGCCCGGGCTTATCGCAAGTAAAGCAACGTAGATACGTTTCCACACTCCTATTAACCACCTCGGACTGGCCATCGGTCTGTGGATGGTACGCCGTACTACGCGAGAGGATAGTGCCCATCTGTTTGTGTAAGTCCGTCCAAAAACGGCTAAGAAAGACTCGGTCCCGGTCCGAAACAATAGAGCGAGGGACCCCATGTAGCCGGACCACCTCCCGGACAAACAGTGCTGCAACCTTCTCTGCGGTAAACGGGTGCCTCAAAGCCATAAAATGGCCGTACTTGCTCAAACGGTCAACAACCACTAGGATCGTATCGTAGCCCTCCAATGGGGTAGGCCCTCAATAAAATCCATCGATACATCTTCCCACACCTGTTCCGGAATAGGTAAGGGTTGCAATAATCCTCCCGGAGCCAAGGTGGAAGCCTTACACCGTTGACATATCTCACATTGACCCACATATGCGGTAACATCTCGCTTCATTCCTAACCAAAACCAGTCAGCCGCAATTCGACGATATGTCTTCAATCCCCCCGAGTGGCCACCTAACACTCCGTTGTGATATGAATGTAGCAATCGCTGTACAATCGGAGACGTGTGAGCCACCACCATCCTACCCTTATACAACAAACGGCCTTGTCTGATGGAATAACCGGGAAATGCAGCCGGGTTGTTAGGCAGTTCCGACCAAATCTTGACTAACCGGTCATCCTGCAACACCTGTTGATGGATTTCTTTGGTGTTGACAAATGTGGAGGCCGTCATGGTGGCCATAGCTGGCCCAACTACCACTCGTGACAATGCATCCGCAGCCCTATTCTCAACCCCAGGTCGATATTGGATCTCGAAGTCATATCCCAACAACTTGGTGAGCCATTTTTGGTGTTCCATGCTAACTAGACGCTGCTCCAACAAGTATTTAAGGCTGCGCTGATCCGTGCGGATTACAAAATGATGTCCCAAAAGATACGGCCGCCACTTTTGAACGGCCAAAACAATGGCCATCAACTCGCGCTCATACACCGACTTGTTCCGTGCTTGAGCGGATAGGACTTGACTGAAATAAGCAATGGGCCGTTGTTCTTGCATCAAAACTGCCCCTAAACCAATTCCCGAGGCATCTGACTCAAGCACAAATGGCTTTGTGAAATCCGGCAATGCCAACACCGGCACTTGTGTCATTGCCGATTTCAACCTTTCAAAAGCTTGCATCGTCTCAGCATCCCAACGAAAATTATCCTTGCGAAGCAAGTTGATTAAGGGTCCTGCGATTTGACTATATCCAGCCACGAACTTGCGGTAGTAACCTGTCAACCCAAGGAATCCCCGTAACTCCTTCAAATCCGTGGGAGGAGGCCAATTAACCATGGCTTCTATTTTAGCAGGATCAGCCGAAACCCCTTCTGCCGAAACGATATGGCCAAGGTACTCGATTGATCGCTGGCCAAAACTACACTTCTTGGCGTTGGCATATAGTTGGTATTGCTGCAAAACCGCCAATACCTGGCCCAGATGGCCTGCATGCTCTTCCAAGGAACGGCTGTAGATAAGTATATCATCAAAAAATACGAGCACAAACTTACGGAGGAAAATACGAAGGACGTCATTCATGAGCGATTGAAAGGTCGCCGGAGCATTAGTGAGGCCAAACGGCATCACAAGGAATTCGTAGTGGCCTTCGTGTGTGCGAAAGGCTGTCTTCGGCACGTCCTCGGCTTTCATCCTAATTTGATGATATCCTGATTTAAGATCGATCTTGGAAAACACCGTTGCGCCATGCAATTCATCCAAAAGTTCTTCTATGACTGGAATTGGAAAACGATCGGGGACTGTCTCCCTATTCAAAGCGCGGTAGTCCACGCAAAATCTCCAACTTCCATCCTTCTTCTTAACCAGCAAAACCGGACTAGAGTACGGACTAACGCTTGGTTGAATTATGCCAGCCGCTAACATTTCCCCAACCAATTTCTCAATTTCTGTTTTCTGAATATGAGGATAACGATAGGGTCTAACACTTATGGGGGAGGTTCCCTCTTTCAACACAATTGCATGATCCTTAGTTCGAATCCGTGGCAATCCTTCCGGCATTTCAAAAACCTCCCTATACAAACTCATTACCTCCTGTAATTCCAGGGGAACTACCTCCTCTTTAATTGGCGGTCTCACTCCCAGAGCCCCTAACTCCACCCACACCCCTTCTCCTTCATGTCTCAAGGCCCTCATTAAAGCCTTGAGTGTTACTGGTGACTTATTCAATCCCGGGTCACCCCTTAATGTAACCTGCCTCCCTCCCAGACCGAACTTCATGAGTAAGGTCTTCCAATTCACAGATACAACCCCCAGGGTTTCCAACCATTGGATTCCCAATATCAAGTCTGAGCTTCCTAATTCCAAAGGCAGAAAATCTTCAACTATTTCAATTCCCTGCATGGAAACTAATACTCCCCGGCAAATTCCCTCTCCTCGCACCGCTAAACCAGTTCCCATCACCACTCCATACCCCCCCGTCCTATCCACTGGCAATTTCAATTTCTGAACCAAATCGCAAGAAATGAAATTGTGGGTCGCCCCACTATCAATTAACAAAATTACCTCACACCCGTGGACGATTGCTTTAAGCTTCATGGTTTTCGGGGCTGTCAATCCCACAACTGAATTGAGGGATAATTCCACCATTTCTTCTTCTTCAGCCATTCCGGTCTGCTCTGTCTCCTCCTCTTCCCGTTCTTCTTCCTCACGGACAATCATGACCTGTATCTCCCGATTCGGACAACGGTGACCGAAAAAATACTTGCCATCGCACCGGTAACACAGCCCTTTCTCCCTCTTAGCCTGTAGTTCCGCGTCAGTCATCCGCCGGAATGGCGCCGATCCCGGGCCCTGGTTCGTCGTCTTCCGTTCGTTCCCCATCCTTCCTTTCTCGTTCGAACTTCCATTAAAACGCGGACCGGATGTGGTCGTTTGGCCATTTCTTTGTTCATTAACTCCTCTTCCCCAAACCGGAAACGTTGGGCCCTGGCCTTTTGGGCCGCGTACCAGCAGGTTACGCTCTTCCACCCTCTGGGCTACCTCCATAATCCGGCCCAGCCCAAACGGTTTCATCAGTCTTATCTCTGCCCGCACCTCAGGCTTAAGTCCATTAACAAACGAACTCTCCAGAACTTGCTCGGAGACGTCCGTTAACGGCGCCGCCAGCACCTCGAATTGCTTCCGGTAATCTCTCACCGTCGTCTCCTGCCGGAGGGACAACAACTTCTCGCACAAGCTGCCTTCTTGCGTCGGTCGGAATCGTTCGAGAATCATCACCTTCAACTCCGCCCAATTCCGAATCATCCGCCGCCCATCCTCCCATTGAAACCACGCCAAGGCTTCTCCGTCGAGGCTGACAACTGCAACATCCAACTTTTCGTTCTCTGTCAGACCGTTCATCGTAAAGTATCTCTCAGCCCTAAAAGTCCAGCCATCGGGGTTTTCGCCGTTAAACGTCGGCATCTCCACTCTTCTGGTTCGACAGTCGGCTCGCGTTCCAAATTCACGCGGTTGCCTGACTCTCTCGCTCGACTCTTCTCCTGGCGTCGTCTGTCTCGCCGGAGCTTCGACTCCGGCTGTCTGGAAATTCCGCCGTTCTTGATGCTGAATATTCATCAGTTCCTCCATTCTAGCCAGCAGCAAATCCATGCCTTGCTCCAGTCGAGGAATTTTTTTTAATTCCTCACGCACCTCCTCAAATTCCCTTGCGAATTCCTCTCTCGTTACCTCCGTCTTCTCCTTCTCGCGGTCATCGGTACGTCTCGTCATACCAGGACAGTGCTCTGATACCAAATGTTAGACTCCTATTCTCTGTTAGTAGAATTGAGACAGAATTCCTAGGAATACTATCGGAAGCTTGAATTGTATTAATGGCGGACGATTGGTTACAAGGGGGGATAAGGGGATTTTCGAGAGATCCCTTGCTCTCCTAGGTTCCACTCTCGGAAGTATACAGATGATTCGATACCCTTCTATTTCCCTTCCTACTCTATTTATACTACTAAGCCTTATTCTCCCTCACTGATCCCAATGCTAACTAACTAGTAACTTCCTACTGACTCAGCCACTTCCTAATTCCTCTTCCCGAGCTCCTCCCTCCACGTCAGCCTCCACTTGAGTTTCAGCTGCCAACCTTGGCTCGTGGTGGCGTTTCCTCCGAACATATGTAAAACGCACGGGGGGCTTATCACCAGTGTGGTAAAATAATTCAAGGAGTGAATCGAGTTACAAATTGATAAGGGTTGAGTAAATTAAATGAGTAACATGAACGGGTGTGATTAAAAGGCAAACAAGAGGTAAGACTTAACAAGATCTAAGCTACAAACTGTGAATCAATGATGGGTAAGGGTTAGGATTACTGATTTTCCCTCAGTTGCAACTCTGACCACGTTTGCTATAGGATTGCTGTAGCAAAGTTCATCCAGTCAACCTAAAATTCTGCATATTCCTCTTCCGACAGATCTATGCCTATAGTTCCTTAAACCAAAATCAACATATTCCTATGCATTTTAATTTTCAAAACCTGAAGTTAAACACCAATTTTAATGGGTCGTACAAGGCAATAATATATTCCTATACTATTCCCTTATATTATCATAGATCTAACTAAAACTAACCTTTCCAGAATTTATTTTAGTTTATATTTTTCACTAAATGATGGCCTGTCATTTAACAAAAATTAGACAATAAACACACTTGAATAAACAAGATGAAAATTACACAAACAATTAAAATAATGAATAGGTCTTCATTGCAACTTTGGTTCCATCAATAATCCTAGCTAAAGAATTTAGCTCATGTTTAGTTCAAAAAAATCAGAATTAACACCAATAATCAGATCCATTTGTTCACAGAGGGAAAATACAGACAAAAGGAATGAAAATGGTTAAGCTAAATCTGAGCTAAGCAGGTGTGTGTCCTTGCTTCCTTGTTTCCAGCCGTGCTGTACTCCTCCCTTCAGCTCCAGAAATCAGCGCCCCAAGTTCCTCCTGTACTCTCTTTTTCTCTCTTCTCAGCTCGTACAAAGAATCCTGTGCGCCTCCCTCTCTGTCTCTGGCTCCTCCGTACAGCCCTCTTCTTTTTCTTTTATACCAGGGCAGGTTGAGGTGCCCTAATTACATGTGTCCGCCTGAGAGCCAAAACTGATGGTCCCCCTTCTAGTGCTCTTACAGCTGTCCTGTCTTGGCAACGTAAGCATTTGGACCACTACCAGCTGTAAAGAAAAGCTGCGCCAGCTTGCACATTTTTGGCTGTATCTAGTCAGCATTTGGACCACTACCAGCTGTAAAGAAAAGCTGCACCAGCTTGCACATTTTTGGCTGTATCTGCTTTGCTGCAGCTTTGTTGCAGCGTTGCTATAACATCGGGAGCAATCCTGCTTTCATTTCTTTTACCGTGCTTTTCTTTCAAAATGCTTTCACCAATGCTGTCCTTGGACTTTCTGCACTATACACCCAGAGTCAACACCCTTTCATTGAATATGAGGACTAAATCCATGATATGACGAGAATGTTCCACAAATATCAACCTTTTACCAACTAAACAAAAACTAACTAATGTTATACGAAATACTAACACTAAGGCATTTTACCTTGAGAAAATAAGCAACTACTAAGCCTAAAAGTATGCTAAATAACTCTATTTCATCGAGTTATCATATACCTTTTCTTTTGCTAGGCCATTAAGAATGACTGTTAATTGATTTTGTTGCATGATTAATCGAAAAATACATATTTTAGCATTGCTCTTCCCATCAGTGGATTATATTATAGTTAGCAAGAATGTTTTGAACTTTTTGGAAATGTTATGGTTAAGTACCATCCTTGCTCTCCTAATTTCTCTGTCTTAGGTAAAGTTCTTTTAATATTTATGTGCAACAATCTACTAAAATGACTGTTCTAAAACTTTCAGGCTCGTGCTGTTCTGATAAATGCTGGTCAGGCCAATGCTGGGACGGTAACATGTTATAGTATGGTGTTGCTCTGAGAGTGAATTGCGGTATTGTGTGGTATTGTGTGGCTAAGACATGTTCCATTCATGTCCCAGGGGGATGCAGGCTATCAAGATGTCATAGAATGTGCTAACGCCCTTGCTAAGGTATGTGCATCTTGTGCTGTCTTGTTCAGCTCACCTAGATGGTTATCGCGGTATTTACAGATATATTCATTGCAGCTACTCAAGATGGGGCCTGAGGAAGTTCTGATTGAATCTACTGGTGTGATTGGCCAAAGGATTAAAAAGGTAGTCAAATTTATTTTCTGTTGAATTTGTTCTGGTGTTTGAGCAGACAGGTTGAAGTTATTCGTAGTAAAGTAGGTGTAGCACCAATAAAAGATAAGGCGCGTGAAGGCCACTTGAGGTGGTACGAGCATGTCCAACGTAGACCGCTAGAAGCACTAGTTCGTGCTTGGGAGGACATTCTTATACCTAATACTAGGAGAGGGAGGGGTAGACTAAGAATTATGTGGACCGAAGTAGTTAAGAAAGACATTCTAGATCTAGGCCTTCAGGAAAGTCTAATTTCGAACAGAGCTGCGTGGAAAAGTGAAATCCATATAGTCGACCCTAATTAAGTTGGGATTAAGGCTTGTTGTTGTTGTTTGAGCAGACATCTAGAAATATTTGAAGCTTGTTTGTTGTCCAGTTATTCTGTTTATGCCATTAGCTTCATATATGCACTGTTATTTTGCAGGGAGCACTTCTAGAATCTCTTCCCAACTTGGTTAGTTCACTTTCACAGTCGACTCTGGGGTAATTCCTTTTATTCTCAACTCATCTACTAGCATCATTTTATGTTCCTTTACTTATTATTATCATTTTAACACCGCTTTTTTTTTTTTCAAATTTTTTTATTCCATGAAGTTCTTTCTATTTTTTGTTATAACTGCAACTCTTCTTTTGTAGAAAGGGATGTAGACCATAGGAGATTTTCTCTCTGACTTTTATATTTTTGAAACATTCTTATGTTATTTGGCTTTCAGGGCTGATGCTGCAGCAGTTGCGATCACCACAACTGACCTTGTTAGCAAGAGTGTGGCTATAGAAACTGAGGTGTTCACGAGCTCTGGCCCATATAATCTTACTCTTCATGGTGTTGGGAATATCGATTTTATTTAGTTGTTAAATAACTGGTTCCAACTTGAAAGAATTTAGGCTCTATGAAGCCGCAATTATTTAAGATTTTTAGTTCTCATAATTCTAGAAACTAAACAGGTCGATTTTTGGTAAATTGCTCAGGTTGGAGGAGCAACTATAACAGTTGGGGGAATGGCAAAAGGTTCTGGGATGATTCATCCTAACATGGCTACCATGCTTGGTGTATATATCTTCTGATACTTCTGAATTGGTTCTTTCAGAATGCTCTTAATTGTAGTCTACTTTTATTACACATGATATTGGTTCAGGTGATTACAACTGATGCTGTGGTTGCCAGTGATGTGTGGCGAAAAATGGTTCAGATTGCAGTAAACCGAAGCTTCAATCAGATAACTGTATGTCAAACTTTGCTTTTTATATAATTGATTTCTGGAAATTTTCTGGTTTCTAGATTGAATATCATAGCTTGCGAGGGTTTGATCAAATTGGACGTGTTAGTTATGTTCCTTGTATTAATCTTTACTTGGCAACACTGCATATTAGCTTTCGAGCAAGTGCCACTAATCCACGTGTTATATAGATAGGGTTTTGACACTGATATTTGCTAAGCTAGTTCAATGTGGTTTTGGTGCAGGTAGATGGAGATACTAGTACCAACGACACCGTAATTGCCTTGGCAAGTGGGTTATCTGGATCACCTAGGATATCTTCCTTGCAAAGTCATGAGGCAGTAGAACTTCAAGCAGGTCTCGATGCGGTAACTGCTGCTAAAGTCCAACTTGTTTCTTTTATGTCCGAAATCATCAAATTTTTTTTTTTTTTTCCAAAAAAAAAAAAAAAAAAAAAAAAAAAAAAAAAAAAAAAAAAAAAAACTGTGGTTAGTGTACTTCTGTTTAGCATGATTGTAAGCAAATGAACAAATATGTTCACTAAGGTAAAATAGCAGTCGCTTGTGGGTTTTGATCTATGTGGTATTCTGAGAATCTGATTTGCATGTTTTCTAGGTAATGCAAGGTCTTGCAAAATCAATAGCATGGGACGGAGAAGGAGCAACATGCTTGATTGAGGTCTGAATCTTGTTTAAGGATTTGTTCTTTATTTGTAACTTGTTCACTGCACAATTTGGTATCTGATTACAGTATTACCTGGACTACGCAACTCTGCTTATCATGCTAAACTTTTTTCACGATTGTAGCAAAAAATGTATTGCTAAAAACTTTTGGTTCAGGTCTCCGTGACTGGTGGTGAGATTGAGGCCGAAGCAGCAAAGATAGCACGCTCAGTAGCATCTTCTTCACTTGTAAAGGTATAATATAAGCTTTATCTGGCATTGGCTGTGACGGTGATGTACAAGTTGAGTTAACACTAATTCAGTATGTATAATGTTATCCAGGCTGCAATATATGGTAGAGATCCGAATTGGGGTCGCATTGCTTGTGCTGCTGGCTATGCAGGAATTTCCTTTGACCAAAAGAAGCTTCGAGTGCTGCTAGGGGATATTTTGCTCATGGATGGTGGGGAACCACAGTTGTTTGACAGGTAACCGCAGGCCTCTTTCAGCCCAAGAAATAGGGACCTGGAACAATACTTTTTCGTATTTGTAGACGAGCAATAAAATGTAGAGAATTTGGAGGAGCACTTCTTTTTCCAGTCTGGTTTTTCTCCAATTTTAGCAAGTTTTTTTTTTAATTTTATTTATTTAGTTATTTAATGTATTCCTTCTCTTCTTGGAGATAAATTTGCATTCTTCACCTCGTTTGCTTTTTTTCTTTTCTTTTCAGAGCTGCAGCCAGTGCCTACCTCAAGAAATCTGGTGAGACGCATGGCACTGTCGACATTAAAGTGTCCGTAGGTGAGTTCCTGAAGCATAAAGAATCTTCGTCTAATACATAGTGAATGCATGCCACTAACTAACATATTCAAAATTGCACACATGAAGCGGGTGGAGTTTTATTTGGCTTTTCAATTTTCATAGTGAACATCGATATTTATCACCAGTGTTAATGCATCACTACACGCGTGTTAGCAGTAGAGCATTGACTCACACATGGCAAAAAGTATACAGGCACATTTGTCAGGAGGTAAAATGGTATTTGTTTTTCATAGTATTAGACACCACTGATCGTCGCAAATAATAAGCGATCGCGTTCGACAATTTGGACATGGATAATTTGAATTATAAATCTCCTACAAAATCTTAAAATGCCTGTCTACTTTGTTGAATCAGGTGACGGACCAGGTCGTGGGCAAGCATGGGGCTGCGATTTGAGTTATGACTACGTTAAAATTAATGCAGAGTACACAACATAAGCACAAATAATCTATTTGAGTTGACTGATTTTGTTACCTGTTTCGGTTGACATGATTTCATAACTTGTCAGTAGAAAGGAAAGAACTCATTCATGAAGCTTAACATAGATGATGGTCAGTGTGGTAGTAATTAAGTTAAAAAAGACACCCCTTGTGTTTTGTCTAAATTACAGTGACACCCCCGTAACAAAATTTAATAACATCAACACCCGCTTTTGGGCTGATTCTCCTCGATTAGTTTTGGTAAGCCACGTGTCATCACATTTTGTGAATGACATACCACCAAGACTCGAGAGAGACGCAACACGACTCTATGCTTGAGACAAATAGTAGATTTATTCGAGATGAGTGCGACCCTACCTTGAAAATGTTATGGTCTACATCTCAAGGGAGAGTCGCAGCCTAACGCTCGAGGCATGTACTCACCATGTAGCCAATGTCTTGATGCATTATCTTAGGCCTCAAGACTGGAGTACGAACAAGTATAGGAAGGACATTGTTATAGTGTCACGCGCATATGAATTGTCCCATATACGAATCCCTTAACTTGACAAACTGATGCGCACTCAGAATATCGGGAGACTATATATGACACCTTCGAGGTACATACCCAATGGATCGCCACGGCATGTCGAACGCACCCTAGGGCATGCCCAACTATAAATACTAACTTACATCCTTTTATAAGGCACATTGCATTCCACTATTACGCCTCTCAAATTCACATGACAACACAACAATGGCAGAAGTCCTCTCTCAAACAGGTGTTTAACTCAAATTCAAATTTTAATTTAAGTAAAATTTAATTTAATTTGAATTTCAATTGGATAACTTATCAAATAAGTAAATTAGATAACTTAAAGAGCAAGCAACTGAATTCCAGAAGGATTCTCATTGTGCTAGGCCTGTACACCATGTGGACTCATCCACTTGTGTGTTTTAAAATTCAAATTTAAATAATAACATTATTAAATTTATAATTAATTCTCAATTAATTATTCTTAAGTGTTCTATTTATAATTCTATAATTTTGAAATTCTCATTTTGCCCTTAATATCTTGTAGGATTACAAGGATGGCGCGAGACTCATGAACCTATAAATTCGAGTTCCAATAAAATTAATAATTAATTAAAACTCCATAATTAATTAATTAATTATATTAATTTCAAAAGTTATTTCACTATAAACTTAAAATTGAACTCTCGTAATTATAGATATACTTTACTTCTAAACTGTGAAGTGTCCATTTGATATAATCATGACATATATATCAATCCTCCATAGATAATTTAAAATTAGAGCTTAGTGAAATCTGTTAACCTCTCTAATTATATCTTTATCCTTGAATACCATTGATTCTCTAAAGGGGCAGTGATTCATAAAACAAATTCATAAATCATAGCTCTTACTAGTCCAAGTATCGAATCAATTCTCAAGAGAATTATTTATCTGCTTCTTTTCTCAAGAAGGAATGGATTTCATCTCATGTATTAATATTCCCGGCTACTCACTTCATCATGTCTCTAAAAAACAAGTAGGAATTCAACATTTCAGAATTCGTACCGAGTAAATTAAAAGACACAAATCCATAAATAGGAATATGCTAATAACGCGGGATTAAGATAATTTTATATATGACCACCGATAGACTTAATTAGAATTTCTATGCTTAAAAGAAATTATCAAAAATTCATATTGCGTTTGTGTTCTAATTCCACACAATTTCATTATGCGTAATACACTCATTCAATATCTCGCCATATTAATAGTACGGATAACACTATTTCATTCTAAATGGGAATGACATGTATTAGTAATGTTTTAATTAAAGATTCTGAACTTTAATTAAATTCATTATGAATATCGTTTTGATTATTATCCTTAAATATTATCCTTTCACATATAATACTTATATACAATATTTAAGGTCACATAAATAATCATAGAATTTTTAATGATATTCATAAAATATTCAATAATATATGTACATAAAATAATGAATAAACTATTTTATTAAATAAATAATAAATATCGTATTACATCTATTGCTTCTAGGACACCATTCTCAACAAAAACACCTGGTAGAAATGAGGAGAATCAACTTAGGTCTTGTGCGAGACTGAACTTTTAAGTTTGAACTTATATATGGTTTTTTTTTTTTTTTTTTTTTTTTTTTTGAATTGAGTTTGGCCGTGTAAGGTCTAAACGTATAATAAAATTTAAATCAACGTTTGGTTACATTTTTAGAACTACGAGTTTTTAAAAAATGTGAGCAAAAATAAGTAGTAGGAACCTTTGAGTTAGTTTTGTAAACAATATTTTGGATTAGAACACAAAAAACTTTAAAAAAGAGGTGAAGTTCTATAAAATCTATAATTTTAAATTGAAGTGAACCCAAACCTCAAAACCACAACATTCACTTCACAACAGAAAAAATTATTGAATTTATCCTTAAAAATGTATAAATCTAAAATTCTATCTCTTATTCTTAATTAGCATTATTTTATTAATATAATTATTTAACTAAAAAAGTCATAATAAAAAATAAGAAATAATAAAGAGTGACGTACTTTTAAAGTATTTATAGAGCCTGTTTAGTTCGCTGATTCAAGTTTTTAATTCGAGTTAAGATGTAATTTTATGTGAGAATTTTTTATTATAGCAAAAAAATTAGATGTGATTGTTTGTGAGAGCTTTTTACTGTAGTAAAACTCGAATTCTAAACTCAAATAGCGAATGAACGAGCCATATCTCTACAACCAAATATTAATTTGGACTGCTTTTTTTGGTTCAAACCTACTGGAACCTTCCAATTGAAAATGGACGTCGTGTGTTCTCAGCTCTCAACCCATGGCTTTTAGTTTCAATTCTCTTCCATCTTCTTCGTCATGGAACAAACTTTCTTATCTTCTTCTACTGCAAACAAAATCTTCCCGCTTAAGGCTCTTCTCTTCTTACGATCCCACTCATAGATTACAACACACAAAAAAGTTACACAAAGCACTTAGAGTTCTCCACCTTATTACTCCCCAAACCAACGTTACCACATTATCACCCCATCGCCATCGCCATCTTCGCCTCATTGACGAGCTTGAAACTAGTTCTAAGAAGTCGAGGATTATGGACGCCACAGTGTTGTCACTTGCCCTGAGCTCATGTGGGTCCACGCGTAATCTCCGTGCCGGTGTTCAGCACCATTGTGCGGCTATAAGACACGGGTTTGTTGCAAATGTTTATGTTGGAAGTTCTTTGGTGAGTTTGTACTGCAAATGCAACGAGCTGGATAATGCTTACCTAGTGTTTGAAGAAATGCCTGTCAGAAATGTAGTGTCGTGGACCGCAATTATTGCAGGCTTTGCGCAAGAATGGCGGATTAATGTTTGCTTGGAGCTTTTCCAAAGGATGGAGAATTCGGATTCGAGGCCTAACCATTTCACTTTTGCTAGCCTTTTGAGTGCTTGCTCCGGTAGTGGAGCACTCGGGCTAGGGAGAAGTGTTCATTCTCAAGTCATTCAAATGGGCTTCCATGCCTACATTCACATATCCAACGCCCTCATCTCAATGTACTGCAAATGTGGGGCACTCAGAGATGCGCTTCACGTATTCAGAACTTTGGATGGTCATGGCAGAGATACCGTGTCGTGGAACTCAATGATAGCAGGGTATGCGCAGCATGGGCTCGTTTTGCAGGCGATTGATCTGTTTGAGGAAATGAAGCAGCAAGGTGCGAAATCTGATGCCATCACTTTTCTTGGCGTCCTCTCTTCGTGTCGCCATGCGGGTCTTGTCAAAGAAGGCCGACTCTACTTTGATTCAATGGTGGAACACGGTGTAGAGCCGGAGCTAGATCATTACTCGTGCATTGTTGATCTCCTTGGCCGAGCTGGGTTATTGGAAGAGGCTCGGGATGTCATTGCGAAGATGCCTATTCGCCCTAATGCTATCATATGGGGATCATTGCTCTCGTCAAGCCGCATACACGGGAGCATAGGGTTGGGCATCGAGGCTGCAGAGGAGAGGCTTTTGTTGGAACCTAGCTGCGCCGCGACCTATTTGCAATTGGCAAACCTCTACGCAGGTGTGGGATGGTGGGACAATGCTGCAAGGATGCGGAAATTGATGAAAGATAAAGGGCTGAAAACAAGCCCGGGCTATAGTTGGATTGAAATTAATAATGTCGTCTATAGGTTTAAAGTAGAAGACAGATCAAACACCAGAATGGTTGATATTCATGCTATTTTGGATTGTTTGTTAGATCACATGAAGACCTTAGGCTTTGGATGTGATCCCAAAATGCTCGAGGAAGAGGAGGTGGATCATGCTTTGTATATGACATAGCTGAAAAATGACATTCTTATACCATCAGACAATAATTGCGCACATTTTCATCTTTTCGTTTGATCCCGTGCTTTTTTTTGGCTTAAAGAGAAAAAAAAAAGGAGCACAGTGAGATCAAGGAAGCATGTAACTAAGGCTCCGTTTAGTTCGCTGATTCGAGTTGAGATTTGACTTTATGTGAGTTTTTTTACTGTAACAAAAACGTTAGATGTAATTGTTTTTTAGAGTTTTTTACTGTAGTAAAAAATTTAGATGTGACTGTTTTTTAGAGTTTTTTTACTGTAACAAAATTCAAATTCTAAACTCGAATTGGTGAAATGAACGGGGCTGCCCCCACTCAGTTTAATACTGAAGGAGGAAATGGGGAATCGACCCTTGGACATTTAAAACTGAGCGGTGGCTCAAACGAAGGATGAACATATTTCTTCTTTGCCTTGCTTTATTTAATCCCGTAAGTCGATTCGAAACTTCTAAGTTCCTCAAATATCTTTTAAAAGTAAAAGATTTTTGACAGAATTTTGGGTAAATTTTGGTAAACTTGAGAGTGTGCCAAAAAAAATATCGATTTCAGTAAGGTTATAATGGCTTTTTCATAAAATTTTAGGAACAAAAATTATAGTAAATAGTAGATTTTTGAAACGAAATTAAGTTTATAATAGATTTTTAAATATTAAAAGTAGATAGCAGTAAAAAGATTTTTTACCTCATAAATTTTTTTTATTTACGATCGGATTTTCGTGGTAAAATTTTTTTTTACCACATAAATTTTCTTTACAAAATTGGATTAATGTGGTAAAAAAGAATTTTTATCACGTAAATTTTTAATTTATTATTATTTACTTCAAATATTTCTAAAATATGTTATTTACTTCAATGTCTTACTGTAAGTTACTTCATTATAAAAAAAAAAAAAAATCAAAACTTTCGCAAAGATAAAAAAGTCTGTTAGCTAAATAATACATTTTTATTATCTAACATGCTTATACACTTTGTAGATTTGCACTTCATGGTAACAATATCACTTGAATCACAATCAATCTCAATCATGTTTGAGCTTGTAGGACATTTTTTGTTATTGAGGTTTCTATTTAATGTCTTTTTTTATATACAACTTGTTTACTTATATATTTAGTTTGTCATATCCTAAAATATCAATATTATTAAATTTTAAAACTTAAATATCCAGTGTCCATAATTTCTTTTGTGATATTTCCACCGACATCAATGTTTTTCTTGATTGTTTGAACATGCAAGTACCGGTATATTACTGAATCAGTGTTTTTATCCTTGCTTAAGAGTAAAGTAGGAGTTTTTGTCCATTTAAGTTTTACTATACAAAACGAGAGAAGAAAACATTAATCCCTTAAAGTTAAACTATTCAAAACGAGAGAAGAAAAACTACGTCTGGATCATTCATGACTTCTCACTCAATGACAGAACCAAGATTTATTGGTAGGAGGTTAATTTTTTTTTATTTATCAAAATTATACTAATATGTATATATATGTAATAGTTTTTATTTATATATGTAATAAATAATTGGCCCAATAAAATGTAAAGAACTATTAGTTTAAAGGGGTCAAATCTAATTTTAACTTAATTTTTGCACATACTTACTATATTAAAATTAAAACCACTAAATTAAACCATTGACGATGATTCAAACCCTTACATTTTAGAATTTACCTGTCATCTAAATTCTAACAATTTTAATTGTTTTCTACAGTGAAAACAATTCGAATCTTACTTTTTCTCTCCTCAACTTCAAGCTTAAAAATGTCATAATTTTACCATTTTAATTTCGATTGAAATAATTTTTTTAATGCGCTCGTAATGGAAAGAAGAACATATTCCCATCCATATTGCATATTTATTATCATTTACAATGAGATTTTATAAAATTTATTATAAAACTCTAATAACAGTTTTCATTTATCTAAACACACTTCAAATTTTATTTTCAATTTAAATTACAATTTATTTACGTATTCCAACACCGGCTTGAGTCGCAATTCAAATCATTAGCCTCATTTATTTCACCGATTCGAGTTTTCAGTTTTAAGTTTCTACAGTAAAAAACTATCATAAAATGTCACATTTAACTTTTTCTACTACAGTGAAGAGCTCTCAGAAAATGTCACATCTCAGCTCGAATTAAAAACTCGAATCCGCGAAGTGAACTTAGCTATAATAATTCAAACTTAAATCACACAATCCTAACAGCGAACCAAACAAGGTCTAGAAAATTGTAGTGGGCAGGAAAGAGTCGCATAAGCATTGGCACAAATCATAGTGGAATCAAAAGATTCAACAAGCATGAATAGTAGCAACAAGCCAACCTCATAGAGCAACGCATAGCATTATAAATCTATTAAGAGAATACACGGCATAATAATATAGTAGCTTTATAAGAGCGCAATCAACCATTCACCCTACTCGGGCGAAACAAAACATCACACACAACGATAACAAATCTTCTTACAGTCAACATTGATCACCAAAAACATGTCTCAGAGAACAATAGGATTATTTATGCACATCACAGGGTCGCGAGGTATCAATGAAAACGTGATTTGCTCACAAGGCTTCTGCAACTGGGTAGTGCATCTTAGTAAGCGACTTCTTCAAGAAGGAAGTCCCACAAAAGGACTGCGAATCTGGGCTACCAACAGTAAGATTGCCGAATTCATCTTCAGGCTCGACCAGTCTTTCAGGAGCATCCATTGATTTGTAGCAACCATTAGAGTTTCCAGAAACTTTACGGGATTGTTTCCTGTCTTTGCCACTACCCCCTCGAGAAGTGTTTCCCTTTTGCCCTTTCTTTCCATTCTTCCAATTCTTCTTGTTGTTCTTATATCTCTGTTGTTTCTTGCCTCCTCTATTAACACTATGTGATAAAGATGTCGGTATTGGATCATACACATCAGGGGCCCAAGACACGCTCAGTTTCCTTGGAGAAACTCCGTGCTTCTCACGGCTACCTTTCATGGCAGATACAAGCTTCAAAGGGGCCTGAGATACGGAAAATAAACACTATAATTTATCAATAAAGATACTAGGAAAGCTCAACTACAAAACCACCACTAGATTTCATCTAAGATCCTCAAGATTCTTAAACCAACTTGAGTATTATGCTTTCACAAAGTCAATTAGAATGATAAAGTCTTTGCATTTTTTATTTTGACCTTTGTCTGTTTGGGCTGGGGGGTCATGGTTCTTCCTTCTAGACACCAACTCAATATTGTTAGTTTATCATTGGAAATAAAACACAAGTACTCTAAACTTTGACATTTGAAAAGAATCGGCAATTCCAACATCAGATGAAAACCAAATAAATAATTGGCAAATTCGGATACATTATCTAATAAGAACACAACCAAAGATGCACTCACAGGCAAAGATATTGAGCGCGTGTAGGCATTCCGATGAGGTTCCTCAGAGAAGAGTCCTTTGAGAGCGGTTTCAGGTTGCTCATCTTCCTTCTCTGAAGAAATAGCATCTTCCCGCATCCCATCTGGGCATGGGAAGGATGCGCATTTGCTGAGGAACTTCGGAGAGGATTTTGGCTGCTCTTTTGCTTTAGGCCTTTCACAGTCATAATTCTCATTTTCATTGCCAAGCTCATCTCCGTCACTAGAAACTTGCTCTACTTCTTCACCAACTTTAATATGTAAATTCTCAGCTAAAGCATTTTCAAGTTCAGACACTATAAAATCATCATCATGATCGGCACAATCAAGGCTTTTCTTTTCCTTCAAAGATGATTGCAGACCTCCAAAGCTGCTTACATCTTGGCACTCCAACTTATCAGAACCAGAGCTAATGTCCATCTACAGTCTCAGATTCTTCTCAAACAAAGATTAAGTAAGAAACTATTTCATTAAACAAAACACAAAACCATTATTGAAGGAAGCACTTCTAATCTACACCATATTTAACAATATTACTCAAACATATTCATGCTTAGTCTTCTTGTCAAAGCCCTTTTTGGTCTAAACACATTTAGATTACTTCGCCCAATTCCAATTAATGATTGCTTATTCCGTTAATCTGCCTATCTAACAAAAGATCAACCAAGAATTTATTAGCACTACTAAAAAACAAAACCATTAAAGGGCAGAACTTTTAATCTACAACACAATTATTAAATTAATTAATTAAGCTTGTCGAGCCAAGAAACGAATAAATTAAATGAATTGCAAGTGATTACCTTTATTTAACAGAATTAAGAGAGCTACGAAACGGTCAAACAACCACAGAAGCAGTTTTTGCGCAGGATCCGATTCGCGATGGCGTATGAAACTTGGTCCGTAGGTTTTGATTCAAAGACGAAGAGAAAGACAATTTGGTAGAGAGAGAGAGAGAGAGATAGGGGAAAGAGAGAGAGAGAGAAACAGAGAAAGAGGCTAAATGTTAACTACGATTAAGATTACCACGACGATCGCCTTTTTCGAGGCGTTTCAGACGATGAGAGGAGGAGCCGCCATGGAAAGAAGCGAACGAAGGTAGCGAAGGACGAAGAATGAGCTTGAGGGGCACCGAAGGCATCATTGAATGCTCTTCGAAACCCTAAACCCGTTTTCTACTCTCAACGGAACGCACTCCTTTTTCCCAATCGCAGAGAGAGAAAGAGGAGAGAGAGAGAGAGATCAGGGAGATGTAAAAATCGGAGCTTCGATCGAAGATATCAATGGAGAAAATGAATTTGGGATCTCAGAATTGCAGAGAGAGAGAGAGAGGACGGAGAGAGAAGAAGAAGATGAGGTGAAGTCAAGATTGGAAAAATGATGAACAGAGAAGGAGAGAGGATCTAATTTGATCTATAAATTATTAAGCAAAATTACACGGACACCCCTTTATATTTTACTTATGACAGCACCCATTTGATCAAACTTAATTAATGACAGCCAATTGACTATTAAAGTTTTGAGAAAATCAGGTACGCCGAATTTTAAATAAATCATACATTTATCTCTGTATTTCTATAATCTAAAATGTATATGTTTTTAACCTATATCAAATTTAGAGGGAAAAATTTAGATTGAGCCTAACGAGGCAGCTCGAGGCCCGACATTGTTGATCTTATAATACTTTACAATATAATACAATACAATACGGTACATCAAACACGCTCTAAATAAATTAATCAATAAATCTTACTAATTAATTAGCTAATTTTCTTTAATCCTTATTAACTAATTTAGGTTAATTATTCTTTCTCTAATTTTAATCATATTTTCTTAATGAATCAACTAATTAATTAGTTAACTTTTCTTAGTCTTATTAACCAATTATCCTCCTCTATTCCTATTCTATTTCAGGGATTTTAATAGCATTTCTATTCTTATGATTAGGCAAGAAAAAAAAGGAAGAACAACCGCTGCAACTTCAACATCAAGTGAAATGGCCTTCTAGTACAAATAAATTGAGGTTTTCCTGGGGTTTGTTCATTAATCAATTACTCGATTAGGTTTTAACTCTACAAATTATCTAGAAGTCTTGGGATTAAATAAAGTTAATTTCTCACAAAAATAACTTTAATTTCTCATTAAATTAATAGGTCTAAGTCTACTTGGGTCCATTCCTATTCTTGAACATTTCCAAGGCTGGGTTAGTCCTAATGGTTTGGGTTCGAATTTTATAACGTAATAGGTTTACTCATTGGTTTACCGATGGGTTACTTTCTTCACTAATTAGGCCCTCTTGCCCAATTAGACTTTTCATCTTAAAATCGATTTTGCCTAATGGTTGTCTCTAGTCCACTAAGGAGTTTGAGTTGGATCGAAGTGATCCGACATTAGTTGATGATTTTACCCTTGAAAAAAAAATTATCGTTGTTCTCCTATCGACTTTGACGCATTAGAGGCTACAAACATATAGTACATACTACGGGAAACATTATGCCCTAAAGGATTGTGAGTCAAAACTCGAAACTCAATGTCTATTTGACCACTTTACCCTTAAGGTAAAAATGACTGTTTTGCCTCTAACGGTTTTTTAGGTGACCTTAGGGTTATAAACTGGATTTTTATCACGTCCCGAAAAAGGGGGCACGACTAATAAAAAAGCAACAATACATAAACCCATTAACAACACTTAAATCTATAACCCAAAAAAAAGAGAATGACCCCATAATAATAATAAAATCGTCGCCTTGCGAGGGTTTAAAATTTCATAAATAATAAAAATAGTATGAATGCAAAATTTTATGCAACATCAAGACTAGCTGTGCAACAGATATAGAAATACTACAACTTAAATAATTTATACCTTATAATCACTTCTAAGATTCTCTACGATAACTTACATCGCTTGACAACTCTGGTCACATGTTCTATCTCATAGGTCTTACAAAACCTGAGAGAGAGAAATTTAAAATAATAAAAATGTGAGCGAAAGACGTAACATGATATTTCTTTAAAACATCATAATTTTAAAACCCAAACTGTTTAAAACTGGTGTCTAAAACGTTATTTTTAAGTAAATAAACTAATAAATAAATAATAAATAATGCAAAATAAAAAACCTGCATATATAAAAAATAAATTAGTAGCACCAACATTACAATTTATGTCCCTGTTATAACTTACAGTTGTGTGTAATATTCATAGGTCATCGCCAAAAAATGCTGCGGTACTTTCCCTGATCGGGAATGTGCACTCTTCACACCATGTGTTCAGTCCAGTCTATCCACGTATAATTTTTAAAATACCTTAAAATCATTTCCAAAACTAAGAAAAATATGAAAATACTAAAAATATTTCATAACTGGTATATTCAACACTTAAAACTCATTTTTTAAAGCCATAATAATTTCCCAAAACTTCAATTATGCAATTCCATGACTTTTCTTTATTCATTTACAAAGGCATTTTGCTTATAATAATACCTTGGCCAAAAATTTCTAACAACAGGCTATTAAGGAACGCGGTATAGAATCCTACATGCTATATAATCTATTGTGTTCACCCTTGGGTCTAATGTTCCCTTATTTCTCTTTGTTTCCAAAATGATTTTCGGATGCGCAGCGTATTAGTACGGATTGTGTATAATAAAAATCTTCATAAACCTTTTAAAATACTTTATAGGATATATTAATTTATACGCGAATAATTAATATAATTAATTTATTAATTTACCTAACGATCGATAAGGTCGATTAATTGAGTTCTTTAAACATGAACTATCTTCGCTCCAAGCTTTCTAAGAATATCAAACCTTTCTTGTCTAGTCCTAGAGTGTAGGCTCTAATTTAGAACTATAGGATCGATCACTCGGTAATTGTCTCTTCTACTAATATCAACATATGTATTAGGTGGAACCAAGATTGGAAGAACTTTTCTTCTCTTTCCTCTCTCTATGGTGCACACCTAACACAGTAGGAGGGAGAGCAAAAGATTTTGTTCTCTAATTTTATATTGCCTCCAATTTATAGAGTCCTATGAGAGCTCTTTTCTTTATGTTCAAGATAAAGCACACTAGTAGAAATATGACTATTTACAACGGTTAGTAACCGTCGTAATATGATTTGATGATGGTTAGACGAATCATTACGACCTTTTACGACGGTTTTTAACTGTCGTTAAAAATTTCATTACACGACGGTTTTATGCATAAGTCGTTGTCTAATATGATATTCGACGGTACCATGAAAGTATTAGACGACGGTTTTTTGTAGAAACCGTCGTTGAATGTTTATTTCTAATGCCAGTTTTTACTAAAAATCGTCGTTATATGTCGTTCCAGTATCAAAAAAGTCATGCATATTTTACAGCTTGTCCCACAGGTGGCCTATATCCCGTGTGTTATTTGGCATCACAATTCTTTAATTTCAGTACGTTATTTCAAATATTAATAAAAATTTACAATAGAACCAAATAACAAGTAAATTAAAAAATAACATGATGAAATGAATTACTAAATAAGACAATAGTACACAATGAATTGTAATTTCACAAACACATAAATTAAATGTTCATAAAGGTACATATAAATACATGATCATTTTTTTCTCTTCCTATTATTACCTTTTTCAACACATGTTTATTCAACATCCAAACAAATTAAGTGAAATCATCATCTTCAAAAACATCAACCTCGTCAACCGGTGGCAATCCTCTAGTAACCAATGGTGCAATCGTCATCATCTCCTTCGCCATCACAAATTGCTCTTGGCTTCATAGGAACAACCAATGACAACTCTAAATCTTTAGGATTGGTTGTATAGAAAACTTGTTTTGCTTGTGTTCCCAAAATAAAGGGTTCATTCTTGTAGCCTAGTCAATGAATGTCTATAACTGCAGCACTGTCGCTATCAACCTTCACATGATTATTGTCGACCCAATTGCATTTAAAAAGTGCCACTCACAATCCACAATAGTCAAGTTCTCATATGTCCTTGATAAAATCATAGTAGGTCATTGTTCCATATATAAGATTTTGGTCTTTTGTAGAGGAAACATACATAGCATCGACAAGAAGATTGACAACACTATTTTAGAGTGGGTGCTTTTCATTTATTTCGTAAGTGTAGAAGGTATAGCCATTTATTGAGTGCTTTAACATGACTTGAGAGACGCCACCATTTTGAGGCTCGTAAACCTTAGAGTAAACGTCTGTCTTTATCCACTCTCTAAATGTCCAGTTATGCTTATTTTGCAACAATTTCTCATTTTTTCCTCCTTTTAGGAATGCTGCCTTTATTTTCTTTTTGTGCACCTCGATGTATGGTTCAACTCACGAGTATAGTGTTGAACATAGAAACAAGCTTGTTCCCATACTTCGCGAGGAACCAACGAAGGAGTAGTGGCAAATTTACTTTTGGATTCAATGTTTACTTGCTTAGGTAAACCTATTGCTTCTGCGTTAGATAAGTACTACGAGTCAAATTCAATAGCTTCTTCAACTATATAACTTTCCAGAATGCAATCCTCTGGCCTATTTTAGTTTTTGACATAATCTTATAGGATTTTGTATCTTTCAAATAGGTACATCCACCTCAAGTACACCGGTCTGCAAAGTCTCTCTTCACGAACTAAGTGCACCATTAGATGAATCACGATGTCAAAGAAGGATGGTGAAAAATACTTCTCAAGCATGCACAAGGTATTCACCAACTTTGATTGTATTGTATCAAATATCATTGTATTTAGTATCTTTGAGCATATGGAGTTGACAAAAGCAAAACTTGGTAAGTGTATATCTAACCTCCTTTGTTAGAGTTCCATGCAAAGCAAATGGCAACAACTGTTGCATCAATGTGTGACAATCATGCATCTTCATTCCAATAATCTTTAAGTCCTTCACCGACACCAAATTCTTAAAGTTAGAAGAATACCATTCTAGAACTTTGATCGAAGCAAGCCACTTACAGAACCTTTTCTTCTCTTGTCTCTATAGTGTATATTTAGCTA